AACTGTCATCGTTGTTTGTGTCACATTGTGAAAACGTTTTCTAAATTATCTGTGATCAATATTATAACAGTAGGAAAGGGTACAACAATCGGAATGTGTAGTTGGAATGAGACAGCCTGTGTGTGAGCTGACAACTAATTACAAAATGTAAACTGGTCAGGTAGATTGAATCAATAGCTTTGTTTCCAATTAAACAAAGCAACTGTACATAGAATGAAATTTAATTTGTTTGAAACAACAAAAGGCTTATTTACAAACTAAAAACCAATACTAGAGAAGGTCAATTGAACAAACAAAGTAAAGAATGAAAGTCTTTTTTAAGATATTTGCTAAATGACAGTGAGTATAGATGATTGTATAGAGTTTATTGTGAATATCCGGATTGTGAGTTAGTAATTTAGGCTTGACAAAGTAGGCGTTCAATTTGTTGGATATTTTCAGTTTGAGAGTATCTGAAAATGACGTTTACTACTTGTCTGAATTTGTTCGAGCACTGACTACGGTGTCAACTTGAGTACAGCATCGGCAGGTCGCCCTCTGTCGAGAGTTATGTACCTGTTGGCATGTTTTCATACGAGTCAATTCGACATGCAAACCTTTGCATCAACCCTTCGAAAGACCTTTTCAAGTGATTTTTCGTCATGAAAAGACCTTCAAAGTTGCTCAACATAGCCGCGTCGAGATCGTCAGCGTTGATCGTCTCAAGCCAGCACACACAGATGACAGTGCCCTACTTACTAATCGGAGACCCAATGCTAGACCTATCAAATCTACTAGCGGGATCCTTAAAGCTACTTCAGATCCCACGCTAGACAAATTAGAGACCTCATTCTCACCTCCCAGTCAATAGCACGCGTCATCTACACTAACTACGGATGAGACTCAGGTCTAACTTTCACGTCATCAGACCACGCCGCCCTGACTTTGCATGAGATTGACGGTTTACGTGGTATGCACGAGAGTACCGTCTCGCGTTTCTGTGAACGTGTACGCCTACCTGTGCTTTTTCCTGAATAAACACACGGGCAACAACGGATACGTGACAGCACACTATGCACGTACTGCATGTAGGCGACTTTTGTCTCTTTTTCTTCCATTGTTCTTAGTGGCTGTGCAAACATGCATACGAATGCAAAGTTTGTGAATGTGAACGCGGTTCGCGACATTGTAAGCAACATGCAAGGAATGAACTTGTCAACCAAGCGGAAAATTTGATCTAATCTAATCCGAACGTCCCGAACCCCTCACTGAGTAAAAGGAGAAGACTTGATATGAAGTAGAACCTGTATTCTACAAGCATTCAGAACGTACGAGGTCCGAATCCAGGAAAGAATCACGTTCTCGGACAAGGGATCCGGGTCCGAATAGGAAACAACATTGGAGTCTGTGACATTAATAGTCAAGACAACCATATTATTGACCAATATGAATTGACCAATGGAATTAGACTTCCAGAAATAATTCTCATAGGATATTTGATGAATATTCTAACAGAGTATTAATTTCTTGTTGTAAATTTATGTATTTACTAATGTAGAACCATGATGAAATGAAATTTATTCATTCTCTTTATTGATATTTAGTAAGTGACAAAGTGTGAATTTTCACTGTAACTCATACTTTTCTATTTCGTTTGAAAAAATTGGTTTAGAAAAATATCGATCATCATTTAAATAATGATTGTCTGTTTATTTGACGACAAGTAAAATATATCGTATAAGATTATCTCCAAAAGTTGTAGGAAGAAATTCAACTATCGTGGTTGCGTATTATTAAGAATAACGTAACAGAACTTCCATCTGCAATCTATCTGAAAATAGTTTTCAGTAGCTCATCATTCGACTCCAAGTTTTCAATGAACAACAGAAGATGAATGTTTCGTATGCATACGCATATCTTACACAGAATAGACCCGTTCGAACGACGTTAATATTTAGAAGAGAAACACCGATTGAGTTAGACGAATTTATTTCATACACTCGTTTATGCAAACAGATGTTAGGATGAGAAGTAAGAAAACGAAGAAGAGAAGTGGACAAAATGAATGTGTCGACTTCATTTGATAGTGTATGACCAATTAGTTATAGTCAGACAAAAGTAAACGAATGATATGTGATGAATAGAGTGTAAGCGAGATACATATATATATATAACTACGCACAAATGACAACAATTAAGATTATAAGTGAATAAGTAATGTCTCATGAAGGTTAAATCAAATGGTCTATTCCAAATGTGACTTGAATTAGCTCATATTGTAAAAGAAATAGGTGAATGACAAAAGATTCTGTATGTAAAATAAGATCACTTTCAGGAATGCATTGACCTTCCTTCATTCATACAGAGTAAAAAAATCAATGTGTTTTGTTCATTTAGTGTAGGCGTCAACAACCACCTACTATTCAATGTACACTTTACATCACCTACCCATTGGTTCAACGATAAATAGCTAAAATACATCAAAACTATATAAACGTTTACATTCTTGATTGTGGTTGTTAAATACAATGATGCAACTGTGGTGCCTGTGTTTCCTTGCAACCTTTGCGATCGTGAGCAATGGTAAGTTATGAATTAAGATGTTAATATTTAAAAGTACACTAACTAACTAACTAAGTTATTCTTAACTATTGAATTTCAAACGAAATCAATGTGATGGAATGAATATCAATTCGATGTTTGATAGGACAAAGTTTGTAAACGGTTGATCAGTTATTTTAATGACTTGATTATCTATAATTCTGTGTTATGCATGATCGAAAAGTTAGTTCAGTGTTGCTCATCATATTTTAATCATTTCACATGAGATCGGATAGAATAAGTGTAATATATTAATGAAGCCAACTGAAAATCTCATGTTCATAGAGCATTATTACTTTGCGTTTTTCCATACTTATTCAATTATTAGTTGGTAATACAAAGAAACGTCTGTATTGTAGTAACATTACAACAATTGATTTTCACATTATGTCCATGGTTCGACATACACTGCAAGTGAAAGATCATGAGAATGTGTAGATGTTTCAATAAAAAATCAAAATAATATTGGTGCACTGATAAGTTTCACAATACACTATTCAAATGAATAAGTCGTAATGTTTCTTGATAAAAGTTGTTGTAGATTCAGTTTTAGTTAAACTATCAATGAATTCTTTTACTCAAAAATAATTTCATGTAACATTATTGTGATCGAGAGTAATTTAGTCATTGTTTGTAGATGTCTGTAGTTAAAACGAGTTACAGTAGTCAATGTTATTTCGATACATATTGTACAAGTGAAATAAACATATGGAAAAATTGCTCAAGATCAGTTCCTGACGTCATACATACTGTGTGATGGGTAGAAAATTTATGTTATTTGAAATAATGTTAGAAGTAAAATGTTGATATATGTGTATTTGTCAATTAGAGTTATGTAGATTAGATTATTTTTGCCCATTGAAATTGTCAATCAATCATTGTTAGACCATCATTAGTAACCAGAAAGCATTGTTTAGACGGCCGTTTCGTCCCGATATGGGACGTATCAGTGGCGATGCGCATCCACGACTCCTGCTTCTCGTAGAATTCGGACCCATGTCCTTCAGTCTTGCGTGCGAATGCCTAACCTCCCCACCACTGGAACTGCATCGAACGGTACGAATGTTTAACTTTGTTCAATCTACAGATTTTGGGCGACCCCACACATTTGTATTTGGTAGGTAATGCCTACACACGGCAGGGTTGAACTCCACTGGTCACGTCTTCCCACTAGAACTCCGTATGCTTCATCACGATGCTATTCACCACTAGTGAGCACATTTTTGCATGTATTGGAAAATTATTACTCAGGAATAACTATTTCAGTGTTATTTATTTTATTTATTGCTTTGAAACAGTCAGTGCTTTTAACTGTACACAACAAGCAAAAGTAATTCTTTTTAATGTCGATGGATTTCGCTACGACCTCCTGGATATGGCTAAACAACGAAATGTCAATATCTCTGCATTCGACAAGATTCGACAATATGGAGTTTACATTCAGGGAATCAAAAGTGTATTTCCAACTTTGCAATATCCTACAAAATATTCGATGTTAACTGGGTTGTACCCTGAAAGTCATGGAATTGTAGCAGATCAGTTTTATGATCCGATTCTTGATGTGACAATAAAAGCCGGATTGTCAGATGCTGGAATTTATAATGTAGGTGGTGAACCGATTTGGATTACAAATCAATTGCACGGTTATAAAAGTGGAGTTATCGGATGGTCTGGTATTGGTGCGAAAGTCAAAAGCCTATCACCCACATTGCTTGAATCTAGCTTCAAAGAACTTAAAGAATATTTTGACATTTTGATGGATTGGTTTCAAAATGAAAACATCACCCTTGCTGTTGTGAATTACGATTACCTTGGAGAGACAAGTAAAAGTTACGGGGCAGAAGATAATTTCGTTTTCGAAGCGATAAAAACCATAAATGTTGGGTTAGAGCACCTTCTTACATTGATCAACGAGAGACCGTGGCTTAGTCACTGCCTCAACTTGATTATATCAAGTGGCCACGGAATGATAAATGGTAATGGAGACAAACTAATATATCTCGACGATTACTTGAAACCAATTGAGTACACAACTACCGATGAAGAGATTGGGGCAGTCTATTCACTCTGGCCAAAGTCAGGTAAGTGTTCTGAGTAAGGTCGATTTATAAATCCTAGGATCTACTCCAGAATCCCTGTATAGCAAGTTGAAGGACAAACACCGAAACCTAAAAGTCTATCGGAAGAATGAAATACCGGCACACCTTTTCTACAAGTCAAATGTTCGAATTGGTCCAATCGTTCTAATTGCTGATTTTGGATGGACGATTGTGGTCGACAGGCTTTTTGTGCAAACTTCATGTAAGTAAACACTGAATGATTTGGTTCCTTTTTAATAATCAATATTCTTAACGTCGTGTAGCATAGCTTGCATTCATCAGAATTACAGTGATAATGAACACAACCAGCTTCAAACAGAGAGACAAAGCAGGAGTTGCACTGCGTATATCTCAATGATTTCATGATATCAGTATTTTACTAATAAGACTTACACGTGTTAGACATGCACAAATGAATCGAATTTTCTCGTGTTAGGTATTAGAAAAAAGTGTGTGTTGAAACTGTTATGCTCGTCACTTGATATGCTTGAAACTGTAACGAGTTCAACTAAGTCGATAAACGAGAACGAAACAATCACCCATTGACACGGAAGACTACTCTGATCTGTTGCTCCAGATAAATGATATGGCGTGAAACGTATATTCTATAAGCACCCACAAAATATACTGATCGCAAACACACAAATCATAATTATTTATACATGATAGAAACGTCATTTGAAGAGCCACAAAAATAGCAAAATAAAACAACACATCCACCAATGACAGACACTGAATTTCGGGGTGTGAAATGTATGCTCAAGTGCAACTGATTACCCCATGGCCAAATGCAAAAATCCAAAATTCGGACATTAGTCAATGAAAACCTAACTGACGCAATCGACATTGAGTCGGATTTGTTAAATTTGACATTAAATTGTTGAACTATGATTAGAAACCTCTGACGTTCTTCATCTCTTTACAATAGGAAATCGAGGTATCAGTGGATATGATCCAGTCAACAAGGAGATGTCTACAATTCTGATGGCAATAGGTCCGCACATTGATGTGAACAAATCAAAAACTTTGCAACAACAATTCGAATTGGTAGATATATATTCATTGGTCTGTCTGATGCTGGATTTGAAACCTGCCCCTAATAATGGTAGCATTTCCCGTGTCCTCCCATTATTGAGAAATGTGAGTTGTTCTGTGATCACTCATCCGGTCAATGTTTCACTAATTGTTGAATTATTTGATATCATTTTGCCTGATGCGAAGAATAATACTTGTGGAAACTCATTGAAGCATTAAAAACGAAACAAGAACAATTCTGTGAATAATTTCTTTTCGACAAGATCACTTACTGAAACTGTACACATAGTTATTCTACATCTTCAATTGTCTGTTACTAAAACAAAAACTTGTAGCACTATGAACGTAGATGTTGAATGTGAGTGAAATGATCAAAATGTGGATCGAACTTACAAAATATGAGAAGGAGCTAGCTTGTTTCTAGTAAATTATATCATTCTACATATTACTTTGTAACGCATAAGTTATATGCTTGAATAGATGAATTGTCAGATACTCTTCGATAAATTGAACTTTTCCATTTCAACGATCATGAGAACTTGTTCCCCATTAACTTTGTAAATTATTTTGTATGAACAATGAGATGGAGAGAGAGAGAGATGAAATGCATCGATCAGATGTTTAATAAAAGAGTAATTGACTGATCTACATTCAGTCTCAGGTAAACGCAATAAGTAGTGCTAGGAAATTGTTATGCTCGTCAAATGATATGCTTGAAACTATGACGAGTTAACCTTAGTCAGTAAAATTAGAACCTATATCATGTGAGTTTTGTGGATCTAATGTCCTCAACAGAAATGCATCAGCGAATGCTACATACTCCTGTGTGATTTTCATTGTAATAATCATTAGTAAAAATTGAATGCACACCGAAATCAGAAACAATCAATAACTTCATGCTTTCATTCACTTTATTGAGTGTGAAATTTCAATCAAAAGACTTTCTACCTTCTTTAATACTTGTTACATCATATTGTCATCTTCATTTTTGATGAAAGATTAACACTGTTTGCTCATGAATATTTGATGATAATTCCTGTGCGTACATTAATCAACTTTTTCTAATTTCTTTTGGATTTTAGAAAAATATGGCCTCTGTCAATAAATTACCTGTCTCATCAATCATCTTATCGATTGCCTTCAGTATCTTCATGTCTTATCATGGTCTATTTTGTTCATCATCATCATCATCTTCAATGTGAAACTCAACTGTACATACTTTGCCGAAAGTTGTTTACTCAGTGAGTATTTTGTTTGATTTCATATTCTCGTTGGGTACAACTATTCAATGAAGTGATTCAATTGGTCGGAAAATATAAATCGTACTGTTCGTTGATATTCAGATTGTAAAATGTTTAATTGCCATTTATTTTTTGAAATATTCTTCATGAACGATTTCCAATATCCAATGACCTATTCACGAGTTAATATAAACTGATTGATTTCTTATCACTCGATTCTTGTTCTTTCGGTACGGTTCCGTGTGTTTGGTAGGGACCAATGAATAGGGGTTCAGGCGCTCGAATGTCTAGATCTGGTCAGTTTGCAGTGGTTTGTCAGTTTGTATGTCCTGTCGTTTAAATGAATACGTCTGTTTCAGGGTAGTTGGGGTTCTGGATACTAGCAGCTTTCAGGAGAAAATTCTAATGCTAATAAGAGTAAGATTTCAGAACTCAGTAAATAAGTAGATAATTTAGTTCATGAATTGGTACTGAAGGTTGTGTGACAGAACCGAAGTGTATTCAAGGAAGATAATAGTCGAGATAATATGCGAGAAATATTAAGTTAGTGATCTAAGGAGATGGAAGTAATGACAACTAGTAAGTGTCAAGACACGCATCAGGCCCAGCTTGTCAATAAGGGAGATGATAATCCGTATGTGAGTACGTGTTTATCAAGTCTCTTCTTAAGTCTGTCTATTGTGGGTGGTGTGGTATTGTCGGATGAGAGAGCATTCCAAGTTGCGACGACTCACAGTGAGAAGAAGTGTGCATGAGCCTTAGTATTCGTTCTCTGTAGTTCGTCTTCGTAAGTTTTATCTATCAAACGTTTTACCCATTTCGTTGCACACGATCCGATAGATTTAAGTCTCTTTTGAAGTGAGGGGATGTGAAGAAGTTGTTTACTTCCAAGTGTGGTCGTGCATATGTCTTAAACAGAGTTAAGAATAATTGTTGGCTGATAGCATAAAGTTGTCTTTGCGAAAAGAAAAGAGATGCACTTGCAATATCTGCGTTCACTATTAATATTCCACTTTTGTGGAGGCTTTCAGTGATTATTAAACCGAGATCGCGCTCTGTAAATCATGTTCACAAATGACTAATTGTATTTTCTTTTACCACTGTTTTGAACTGTTCACTTCATCGTGAACAATAATAAATGGTATTCTATTCAATCTATATGAAATTTCTGTATTTTTTGCCTACTAAATCAGCGATCACAGTTTGTAAGTTCATAGAGATGGATCATTCGAATCTAAAGATTTACAGAAATAATGCCGAATACATAAAACACCTTATCATAATATTGCGACAATCTCATTATCTATTCAACTAAACCAGATCCTTGTTAAGCAGCTAATGTGAACATTACGATTGTATGTCAAGTAGAATTAGCTCTGTTGCTCATACTCCTGTTTCGAGACATATTGAACAATCTTATTCAAATGTCACTCAAATTAACTAAAATTTATCTGTAATAGACTTATAGTGGGCGCAAGACGTATGATTAAGTCCCTATTTGAATGGATGAAATCATGAAAAGCGCTTAAGTCTTCTGCTTCGGTCTGACTAGAGTTTAATCTGCGACAAGTGAGTTTCCAATAACTGAGCTTCTTCCACTTCTTTCTTTCTTTTAGTACGTTAAAATCTATGATTCATGGTTCGATTAGAAGTGACTGTGTAAACTGACTCCGAAGACACTTTATATCTATGTATGACTTCCAGGGCAAATGAACAAGTACGTTAAGTGAATTGTTACACAATGATTCAAAATATTCACCCTACATCAAATAACAAACATTTCGATGCTGATCACGAGATATAGATTAAATGTGGAATGTGAAATTTACATGGAAAATGCATGCGAGATGTGAAGTAGTTACAAAAACATTTTATTATAAACTATTGGTGGAAGTAATATGTTTAGAGTAACTGTGAATCAAGCTGTCTTGATCAACTACTCTCTTCTCAGTTGCTTCGGCAGCACACACGCATTCAATAACTCGCAAACACATTCTCCATTAAAATTACGCAATAGTTGTTGAATTTGAAGAATGGAAAGTCAACACCTTAACAAACAAAAAGCTACTAGTCAAGGAAAAGGACGATAGACTAAATTCACATATTTTATTTAATGTTCCATTGTCGGAGAGTAGCCTATTGGAAATTAGGGCTGAATTGATGCAGAACAATTGGATAAATACTGCACAATCCTCGGATATCACTGGGCTCGGCACAACTTGCCTAATATAGCCTCCTCTCATCACAGAGACCATCGGTTAGGATGTCGCTAAGCGCTCAAAAAGCAGACCAGTATAGCAATTCACGGCGTGGGGTGACAGCAAGGAGGCCATAATAAACGCACGAAATCGATAGTTGACCTCGATCAACTACCTCAGGCAGAGGAAACGAAGATAATAGTCTCGCTGATTAAATGCACTGCTCAAGCATAACTCTGTTTCAAAATCCGAGAACATCTGTTTCGGCAGAAGTGCACCAGGTGATGAGACAAACCACAAGGTGCTTCTACGGCAAAATTAGAAATCAGAAATATGTACTCTCAGATGGAACTGAAGATCATAATCCTGATAAAAAGATGGCTTTCCGCTGACATTGCAGACGATGAACTGAACGTGCAAGGCGTGAGAGTCTTCCAAAGTGATAGCCTATACCAAACAGGAGGCGGAGTGGCTATAATACACCCAAATAACGGACGTAATAGAATCATGGGTTCAGTTCAATTGGTTTGTTCAGTGCTCAGTGTTTGCGGAGTCAGCCACTGTTCAATCAGCCAAACGAATCCGCAAACAGGTGAAGAGATTCGTGCCTAGATAGTAGGTTTGTTGGTTGGACGGTCGGTGGTCATGTGGCCGGCGTGGCTGACCGCGCAGATGGGTTGATGTGTATGAGTTTGCAGACTTGGTGGGCAAGATCACAGTTGGTCTGTGTTTCAGTCGGCGGGCCGGTCAGCCGAAAGATCTAACTGTGTCCTTCCTCCCTTCGTCCATCTGTTCTTGCCTACTTCCGTCCTCTGTCGATCGGTTTGCCTATCATGACTGTTTGACTGCCCGTTCTCCTGTCCACTACTCGAGTCATGTTGATGTGCGAGTGATATGCTTGTCAGTTGGTGGTCTTGAATGCTACTATGAGTAGAATCCATTTTGGAAGGCTTTGTTTGGGAAAATCCTTCCATGTATTCATTTGTAATACGTCTTTATCGATTCTTTCAGTCCTACATTTTGGTCATCTGTTCACTTCCATTTTGGGATGATGAAATTTGTGTTTTGTTATAGTTTCCATCTTTTGTGCCATTTTTGAGTTTCTATGTTTCCTTCCAAACTGCATTATGTTGTTTAGGTTGATACCTAATTATGGCGACAGCCATGTTGATTTTATCCCTTTAGACTTCGGGGTACTGACACGGACTGGAAGTGTGCGATTTGAATCGGAATTTCGAGCGCTCTTCCAGAATTGGAAACACTTTGTGTTATTATAGAAGGAATAACAGCAGTAATAGTGTTTAGAACCGTTACTTACCAAGATCACTTGTTTTGGATTTCAGCAGGACAATAGACGGATCCAAACTTTCTGAACAGTTATTCTTAAATCCAAACCTCAGTTTGGATTCTACAGTTCTAAACAATATTACGACTGATTGGAGTTTATGGATATTATAGGTCTAAACATTATTAAAGGATCGGACTTTCTTGGATTTATCCTGGATTTTAGGTACTACAATGAATTCTCGTAAAAAGAAGCCAAGCTCAAGTCTCGCTGGAAGCCAAGGAGACAAACTGAACGACGAACCCTTTGTTATGAAGCAAGTGCCTTCTGATAAATCTAAGATTAATGGTTCACATTAGGAAAGAGAAAATTTT